TCAATCTGTATGCTGAGCAAACAATCCAAGAAGCTGGACTATACGAAGAAGAACACGGCATCAGGATTGGAGGAAGATTCCTTGATATGCAGATGATACAACCTTGCTTGCTGATAGTGAAGGGGATTTGAAGCACTTACTGATGAAGATCAAAGACTACAGCCTTCAGTATGGATTACACCTCAATATAAAGAAAACAAAAATCCTTACAACTGGACCAATAAGCAACATCATGATAAATGGTGAAGAAATTGAAGTTATCAAGGATTTCATTTTACTTGGATCCACAGTCAATGCCCATGGAAGCAGCAGTCAAGAAATCAAAAATGCATTGCATTGGGAAAATCTGTGGCAAAAGACCTCTTTAAAGTGTTAAAAAGCAAGATGTCACCTTGAAGATTAAGGTGCGCCTGACCCAAGCCATGGTTGTTTCAGTTGCCTCATACACATGCAAAAGCTGGACAATGAATAAAGAAGACTGAAGAAGAATAGATGCTTTTGTATTACAGTGTTGGCAAAGAATACTGAATATACCATGGACTGCCAGAAGAATGAACAAATCTGTCTTGGAGGAAGTATAACCAGAATGCTCCTTAGAAGTGAGGATGGCAAGACTTTGTCTCACATACTTTAAAGACATGTTACCAGGAGGGACCAGTCCCTGGAAAAGGACATCATGCTTGGTAAAGTAGAAGGTCAGTGAAAAACGAGATGGATTGACACAGTGGCTGCAACAATGGGCTCAAGCACAACAACAATTGTGAGGATGGCACAGGACTGGGCAGTGTTTCGTTCTCCTGTATATAGGGTCGCTATGAGTTGGAACTGACTCAACGGCACCTAATGACAACAACAAAAACGCCCACATCCTAATCCCCAGAACTTGTGAATGTTACCTTAGACGGCAAAAGGGATTTGCAGATGGGATTAAGTTAAGGACCAGGAGATTATTATCCCGGATTGTCTAGGTGGTCTCTAAATCTAATCACAAGGGGGCTTATAAGAGGGAGGCAAGAGGCTCAAAGGAGGAAATAGGAGATGTAAGACAAAACCAGAGGGTCAGACTCGGAGAGATACTGGAAGATGCTACGCTGCTGGCTTTGAAGATGGAGGAGGGACCATTAGCCAAGGAATGCAGACAGCCTCTAGAAAGAAGCTGGAAAAGGCAAGAAAGTGAATTTTCCCATGGGGCTTCCAGAAGGAATGCAACCTGGCTGATACCTTGGTTTTAACCCAGTGAGACCCATTTCAGATTTCGTACCTCCAGAAACATAAGATAGTAATTCCATGTTGTTTTATACCCTCAACGAGATGGACTGACACAGTGGCTGCAACAATGGGCTCAAAATAGCTACAACCGTGAGGATGGTACAGGACTGGGCAGTGTTTCATTCTGTTGTATATAGGGTCAATATGAGTCAGAACTGACTTGATGGCACCTAACAACAACAACTTGTTACAGCAGCAAAAGTAAACTAATACAAGTTCTAAATGCCAGTCACTTTTCTAACCATTTTACATATTAGCTCATTGTTGCTGTGTGCTGTTGAGTTCATTATGACTCATGGTGACCATATAGGACAGAGTAGAACTGCCCCAAAGGTTTTCTTAGGCTGTAATCTTATGCGAGCAGACTGCCACATCTCTCTCCCAAGGAGAGGCTGCTGGGTTTGAACTGCTGACCTTTTGATTAGCAGCCGAGTGCTTAACCGTTATACCACCCGGGCTCCTAATTAAATTCCCCCCAACAACTCTATGGGGTAGTTACTATTATCATCTTCATTTTACAGATGTGGAAACTGAGGCACAAAGTATCTTGCCTACGTGCAAGATACAGGTAGTAGGCAGTCGTGTTACTGATTTGTCCTCTGCTGTTATTACTATAAATACTGTCACTCCTGTTTTTTTTTCACTAACAAAAAATAAGGTTCCAATCAATATCCTGGTTTTTGGCAGAAACTCTCACAGAGAGAAAATGTCCCGGAGAATGTGGAACAGTGGGAAAATTCCATCTTGTAGGGTTCTGAGACTACCAGCATTACCAGCTCTGCTGCTACCAGCCCTCCGATCCAAGTACCACACGCCAAGTGTTTTTCATTCATTATCACATTTCCTCCTCCTTCCCCTTGTAGCCAGAGAGAAGTTCAGTGAGCCAGTTAGCAACGCTCACAGGTTTCACACCAGGAGTTATTTCATGTGTGTAATTAGCTCCTGTTTCTAAGAGAATAACTGAGACTTTGCTAAGAAACATTAAGAAGAAATGTTAAGAATCACATTGGAGCATGGATCTTGGAAAAACATTCACATCACCCATTTTTGAAGATCTTTTGAAAATTTTAGTGAGCATATAGAGAATCTCATTTAAGAATTGAGTTTGGATTTCTTAAAGTTACCCATAAGTTCAAATGTTTTAGAAGCTGGTTTTACAGGTTGCCAGTTTATACTGCTGAATACAGAAGCACTCTCTTAAGCAGTGAGGCTTTTTCTTTTGAATTTCCAGGAGGAAGAGAAGAGGGCCAACTTTTGCATGACCTTCCCAACCCAAAGATCCATGTGCCCCCTTTGGGGGCCCTCCACCTCCCATAGAGGAGCAGCTTAAAGCCCCCTTACCTTGATGACAGAAAGCATCCCTTCGTTGGTTTGAGGGTTGGTGTGGATTTCGAAGCTCTGCCCGGGGTTTCCATTGATGATGGTATAGGCAGCCCGCCATGCACCTGTGGTGGGATCATCCTTGTCTTCGACTGTTAGATTGACAATCACGCCCACGGCTCCTTCCTCAACTGTGGCTTGAAACTGCAAACAAAGCAGACAGAACTGTCACTGTTTTGAATAAACATAGCAAAGAGCATTTACGGCTCTTAGGTTCCTGGGTGGTACACTTTGCACTTGGCTACTAACAGACAGGTTGGGGGTTTGAACCTGGCCAGCAGCACTGCAGGAGAAGGGCCTGGCGATCTAGTTCCATAAGATTATAGCCATTGAAAAGCCCATGGAGGGCAGTTCTACTCTGACAAACATGGGGTCACTATGAGTCAGAATAGGCTCAATGGCAATGGGTTTGGTTTGATGAGCATATACTGGATATTGGGAACTTTGCTTGCATTATCTCATTTAGCAATAAGTAACAACAGAAGATTATGCCTGGCAGATGCTACCCTCCCTCTCTCAGCCTTCTTTAGAGTTAGTTGTGCCCATGAGATTCACTTCTCTCCTACAGAAGGTGGGCCGAAGGGATGTTTGTGTTCCTGGGCTGTGCTGTGCCTCCTCTCTGCACCCTTTCTCCTTCTATGAACAACCACAAGATCTTAGCGGAAGGCAGAGCCTCAAGGGGAAGGAGCTTGGATCCCTGAATCACTACAGGGAGAAGTCTGAAGGTCAGGAACACCGGTCCTGAACTGTTGCTAAGTGAGAAATAAATGTCTCTTGAATTTGAGCCATGACACATTTTGCATGTATTTGTTCTTGTAGTCTTGCCTATCCTAAAAGGCATGATAACCTGATACCCAGAATGCCACAGCTTGTCAGTGGAGGGGCTGGGGCTTAAGCACAAGTGTTTGACGTCAGAGCCTCTTCTAGACCCTGTCATCTTCTCTTACGAAGAAAACCAATTCATCCTGCCCACCCCTTGCTCACTACTAGCATGACTTTTAAAAAACCGATTTTCTAAAGCAACGTATAAATCAATTGTTTGGCACCTTGTTGCATGTATGTTTTTATTGTTACATCTCAAATACTTGTTGCAAGCAGGTGTGGTGAAAAGAAATCAATAAATGAAAAATCAGCTCTCCCACAGGTAAAGAATTGCATGAGCGATCATTAGCACATTCCTCTGAGCTGGAAGCATAAAGTATTGTTTTGATTCTTACCTTTGACACACTATAGGTGAATAGTAATCCGTTTGCAAATATTTTATAAACAAGTAATACCACTAAGCTGACAGGAAGAAGAAATATCTTAGAATTTCAATCAGTAGGAAAGTGAGTCTGGAGACAGCAAGGGGATGTCAAAAAGCCCTTGTGTTCAAAGAGAAGTAATAGGAGAAATGAGGTTTCAAAAGCAGAGGCTGGTTAATTGGTTAATCACAAGCCTTAATCTTGATGCCTTGTTGAGGGGGTGGTGGGATGGAGACTAACTTGTCTCTCCCACCTTAGAAAACAGGATGAGTTGTTTCTCTTCTATAAAAGGGGCATGGAAAATTCTTAGAGCATGCACATAGGGCGGAAAAAAGCAGAATGAGAAGGGATATTGTGGATGCTGTCTCATAATACAGCTCCAGGAGCCAAGTTATTTGGATCGGATTCCTCTAATTCTTGTTTAAATAAGGCCTACTAGTCTTATCGTCTATTTTCTCCCATTCTCACAAAATCAAAGAATTTCTGAGCTTGTAATCTGGACTGGTGGTTCTCAGCCCCCTTTGCACAATAGACTCTCCTATGGGACTTTTTAAAACACTGTTTGTCAAAAAATGCCAGGGTCCTTTTCATGTGTTCAGTGTCCATTTGAATGTCTTCCTTGGTGAAATGTCTGTTTAAGTCCTTTGCCCATTTTATGATTGGATTATTTGTCTTTTTGTTGTTAAGTTGTTAAAGTTTTATATATATTTTGTTTGTGCTCTTTCAAGATCTATCTGTATGAGATCAAATTGACAACAGCAACTCAAAAGATTAGATAGGAATCTTAGGGGGCAGTGAGTTTATGTTACTGGGGAAGAACAACTCAGAAAAAGAGGGTGAGAATGGTTGCATAACTCAAAGAACATAATCAATGTCACTGAGTTGTACACATAGAAACTGTTGAATTGGTATATGTTTTGCTGTGTATATGCTAAAGAAAAAAAATTAATGAAAACAAGATGCCTGGGTCCTATTCCAGTTCAGCTGAGGTGAGGCCTGGGAGTCAGTGTTCTTCTTTAAAACCTCCCAGATAATTCTAATATGCTGTCAGGGGTGAGAAACATGGTTTAGACCTACGTGCCTGCCCTGGTGGGTGGGTGCAGCTGCCTGAGCACAGTGTTGAGGGGGGCTGCAGCCACATCGGCCACAGCAAGAAGGAGTGCTGTGATCAATTACTGCTGTCTGCCACGTGTGCAGGAGGCGGACTTGGTGGTTCGTGTGCCATCTAATTCCTTCAGATTACAGATGAACAAACAGACACAGAGAAGAAGGAAGGGTCTTTTCCAAAGGCATGCAGCAAATTAATGATCAGATCCAATCTTCTGAGTTCTGGTATCGTCTGCTTTCAAGTTCTCTGCTACTCACTGTTGCTGCTAGCTGCTGTGGAGTTGGCCCCTGACTCATGGTGACCCCATGCGCAGCAGAACAAAATGCTGCCTGGTCCTGCACAATCTCCATGATCGATTGCAGGTCAGACTGTTGTGATCTATTAGGTTCTCACTGGCTGATTTTTGGAAGTAGATTGCCAAGCCTTTCTTCCTAGTCTGTCTTAGTCTGGAAGCTCTGCTGAAACCTATTCAGCAACATAGTAACACGCAAGCCTGCAGTGACAGATGAGTGGTGGCTGCTCATGAGGTGCACTGGTTGCTACTCATGCCCACTCAGTATCCCCACTGTGGAGGCCAGTCTTCCATCCCCTGCAGTGGTCCAGAGCCAGCAGACTAGTTCTCTGTACCTACTGATCACAGTGGACATCAATTCATAACCTGTCCCGGTGGCTCTTCTAATATCTGTCCTATGGAAGCCAGGTGGACAATTATGTGGGAGTACTAAGACTACAGGGGGCTAGGAACCATCAGTCAGGTAGAAATGTTGTTATGTCCGACTGCGTAAGTGATAAGTTGCTCTGTCAAAGCAGGTGAGTGTCATTTGCCGAGGTGAAGACACTGTAAGAACAGATCAAGATTTGAGGATGCCAGAGTCTCTACATGCATCTGTCGCCTTCACTGTTTTATCTCCAGCCCCTTGCACTGTGCTAGGCACATAGAAAGGACTCAGTAAGTATTTTCTGAATGCTGTTAAATGTAGGAAGTGGGACCTGGCAGCAAGGATGAAGGCTAAGCAGGGAATGTGGGTGGATGAAGCTATACAGGAGTGAGACCAAGAGGCACTGACTCACTGAATGATGCCTGATTCCACCATTGCCTGACAATTCCAGAAGGGCAGGGACGGAATGTCTGCCTTGCTCTCTATGACATGCCCAACTGGCCCACATTATGACTTTTATTGGCCCTAGTCACTTTTGCCTTCATTGGTCCCACCTACCGTAATTGATGTTCATGAGTTTTAAAACATGGCATTTTTTTCCTGATGTGAAAGAAGAATTAAAACATTTTCTTTGATCCTAAAAAGTCATTTTTTTTCTTCTGCTTTTGGGGCCCTAGGAACTGTGCCTACTCTATCTAATGGATGATTTGGTCCTTATCCCCAGTACCTAGCATTGTACCCAATGTGGGGGGTAAGGGTCTCAAGAGCTGATGAATGAATGAATGGGTGAATGAGTAAAATGTATTTAGGCCGTGTCTAAGTGAGACAGGCCTGTGCACTTTCTCCCAGGATGCTGAGATGTTCGTGTCTGTAGCACCTAATGACAGGGCTGTCATAGAATCAGTTCCAATACCTGTTTGGTGCATGAACAAAATGGGTCCAAGTGGAAGGGGGAAAGTGGTGATGTTCTAGGAATTCCCAGAAGTGCATATTGTGGCCCTCATTTGTCCTTGAATGTATTAATGTGTCTCCAACCACATTTACCTACCATTATCCATCCATTCATCCTTCATTCATCTATCCTCCCTCCACCCCTCCATCCAACCTCTATTCACCCATACATCCACCATCATCTATCAATCTACCCTCCATCGGTCATCAGTTCATCTATCATCTGTCAACCATTCATCTATCCATCTGTCATCCAACTCCATCCATCCATCCATCCATCTCCATCCATCCATGCATCCATCCATGCATCCATCTCCATCCATCTATCTACCCTTCCAACAAATATGTATTGAGTACCTTCTGTGTGCCAGTCATGGTATGGTACTTGGCTCTAGGGATACACTGGTAAACAAAACAGATATGGTGCATTTTCTCATGGAGATTACAGGCTGGAAGGAGAGACTGTCATGAAATAAATGTATAATTTAGAAAAATGTGCTAAGTGCTAGGAAGGAAAGCACAGGGTTCTTGGAGAGCCTGTAGTGGGGGGACCTGACCAGTCTGGGAAGAAGGGGAGTTAGTGTGGTGAAAGGGGAGAGAGCATTCCTGGCATCCGAAACAGCATGAGCAAAGGCTGGGTGGCAGGAGGGAGGATGCTGCATTTGTGGAACAGAGGGAAGGTGGAGTGGCTAGAATGCAGGGGGAGGAGGGAAGAATTGTTTGATATTAGACTCCAGAGGTGGAAAGAGTCAGATTGTTCAGGACCTTGCAGGCCATGGAGGAGTCTCTGAGTGGTGCAAATGGTTAATGTACTTGGCTGCTAACCAAAAGGTTAGAGGTTTGAGTCCACCCAGAGGTGCCTTGGAAGAAAGGCCTAGCAATCTACTTCCAAAAAAATCAGCCACTGAAAACTCAATGGAGCACAGTTCTATTCTGACAAACGTAGGATCCCATGAGTCAGAATTAATGTGACGGCATTGTGTATGTGTCTGTGTGTCTGTGTTCTGGTTTTGTGGGCCATGGAAGAGGAGCCCTGGTGGCATAATGGTTAAAGCACTCAGCTGCTAAGCAAAAGGTTGGAGGTTGGAACCCACCAGCTACTCTTAGGGAGGAAGATGTGGTAGTTTGCTTATGTAAAGATTACAGTCTTGCAAACCCTGTGGGGAAGTTCTACTCTGTCCT